CCTCCTAGGAACATACCATATACGAAGAAAACGGTTATCAGTTAAATGACAATTCGTCTATAGGGCCTAAGGACCATAGTTTAAAACTGGCTCTACTGGATACAAAGCAAGAAACATAATACACACAAATAATAATAATAATAATAATAATAATAATAATGTTATTACTGGGTGTAGAGAAAGTTGTTTTTGCTTTAAGTTTAAAGGATGAGAGAGCCAAAACAGTATTGGAGTAAGATGTAGATACTGAGGAAGACCCCAACCCCAGTCGAAACCACGTAAGTGGTGTAGGTTAGGCGACCTGAAGATATTTCAAACTGGGTCCCATCTGCAAGATTATCCACCGCTTTTATCGAAATCTTTCACCATATCGCATACATTTGACTGTGATGCATGTGCATGATATACAGTTATGAAACTGGATCCCCATAATGCATACATTGGTCGTCGTATACCTGTACGCCTGCGTTGCTTAGTTGGCGTACTGCTCTCTCAATGAATAATAATAATTATAACCACAAGATATGGTTATGACCCGTCACGTGATTATAAAGAATAATAATAAGTAGAAAATGAAGAAGATAACAATGTCGAAGAAAAAGACAAGGAAAAAACAACAACAAAAATGAAAGAAAAAACAAAAGAAAAAGAAAAAAATTGAAAAGAATAAAATAGGAGAAAAAGAAGGCAAAGAAAAGAGAAAATTCAAAGAGAAAAGATGGAAAAGAAGAAGATGAAAAGGATGACGATGAAAAAAAAAAAAAAGAAGAAGAAAGGGAGAAAAAGAGAAGATGAAAAAAAAAAGAAGATGAAAAAAAGATGGAAAGGGAGAAGATAAAAAGATGGAAAGGGAGAAGATGAAAAAGATGGAAAGGAAAAAAGATGAAAAAGATGGAAAGGGCGAAGATGAAAAAGATGAATACAAATAAACTACAATAAAGTAGAAGAAATAAAATCAAATGAAAACACAAAGAAAAGAAGAAAAACAGAAAAAAGAATAAAGGAAAAGAAGAAAAAGAAAGAAATTGAAAAAGGAAGATGAAAATAGAATGTTTTATTCAAGCAACTCAAGATGAAAGCCTGCTAACTAGACCTTACCAAGTACATATTTTCAGTAATGGAGTAGGAGCAAAGCGTCCTTTCTGTACACAAGCTGAGACGACTATTGATCATTTAATATATGGCTGCCCTACACTAACACCAAACGAATTTAAAAATGGGATAACGCAACACATTCATTGTAAGATATGCAACATTATAATCTGGAATACACAGAAAAATTGTACGAAAAAAAAAAAAACAAAAAACGAACATAGTTGCAGAAGATGACGGTGTTACTTTGCCCTACGACTCCCCGATACACCGACCGTAAAATATACATTAAAAGACCAGATAATGTCATAAAAGACTTCAAAGAAAATAAATGCTATTTTATCGACATAATCATACCATCTGATAAAAAACATTTCCGTATAATATAGTTGATGGTCTTTCCAAATAAGGATTTAGAAATAGAAATCGCAAAATGAGGTAGAAACACAGCCATTACTTCAGTAGCGGTCTGAGGACTAGAAATTATTTAGAAGGTTAGATACAGACATTAAGTTCGTCTTTAACTGAAATATAAAAGATTATGTCTATGCGTACTGCGCACAGAATGAAACTCTTTATCTGAAAAGCCTTCTTTTACATGTTGTCGCATCTAAAAGACGTGGTAAATATGAAAAGAAATAATAATAATATTAATCTAATCCATAGATAGCAAAAGTAAAAGAACTGATTAAATAAAGGGTCCAGTTAGAAGTTCTCGGAAGGTTACCGGATCGGGAGAAATCGGAGATTGTTATATAGGAATAAAAGTATCACTGCCAACACTTGAGTTTGAACATAGATCGCCAGTGAGCAAACACAGGCGATCCCATTATTGAATTAAGTAGATCACGTGACCATAGAGGAAATGCATGTAGGAAGTCACGTGACGTCTAACGGATCACCGTTTCTCCTCTATCCTCTAATACTAGTGATTTTTCAAGCGTAGCTCAGATGTGGCACAAGGCCGAAATTATGGGGCACCCAGTGAGAATCGAACTCACTACTCAGTCGTAATTGTTCTAGCGAGACAAGCTTGCTAACCATTACACCACATCGATGTGTCCCTATCCTCTATTACTATATGGACCGTTATTCTCTATTCTACACTATTCTCTATTCGGATCAATACGGTGATTACTATTCGAACGAGTATTATCGAGCAAGTACTATTAGCGCGAGTGATATTCGAAGGCGTCTGACACTAGTATTGTTCAACGGCGTTACTATAGTTTCTATCTGCGATTACAAAGTCTCTACTATAACTACCATTACGAAAGTGACAACGAGTTATCGTTGATATCACAAAAGAAATAAAAAGGCCGGAGAGTACAATGGCTGAAACATGATAATAATGTAAAAGATGATAACAATAGTCTAAATGTAAATTTAAACAAAAATCTATTGCTAA